ATTGATTTTTCTTCAATTCAGAACTTACAAAATTGACTATGACTTTTTTAAATTATTTAATAAATCAACACGAAATTAAAAGTTAACATAAAATTATCAACTTAAAAAATCTAGTTCTCGAAGTTACTGATTTATTAGACCAAATAATAATATTAATAGGAATTTATCGAAAAATTAGTTCTTGGATCACGACTCAAACATTTTCCACAATAATTTGAAAATAATCTTATTAAAAATAATGACCTAGTCGATCGGGGCCTACGAACGGTTGAAGGCAAATTCCACGGGTTGGCTGGTTGGAAGGGATTGCTTTATGCCGTCACAAATGGGTCACAGTGACCAAACCCGGGACAATAATCCCACTAGATTTAGTCTTATAAAATATTTATTTTTCTCTAAGTTTTAGATTACGAAATATGATAGATTTCAAATAAATTATTTTACCAAAACTATTCAGTTGAAATTTTTCGTTTGTTGCCTTTCGATTTGAAAATCTGATGTACGGTTTTTTTGTTTAATATCTTAACTGAAAAATTGTCAGGTGGTTTCAAATTTATTTTATAATTTAACTTGGCGATGATTTTTCTTTTCCATTTAATTATTAGTTAACAATCTTGATTTTCGAAAAAAAAAAAAGTTAACAATCTTATTTTATTTTCTCTTCAAACAAACTAGAGCAATCACATTGAGATCAATGAGGGTGGATCATATAAAATATCCAAACACAACAATAAAATTACTATAAAAACCCAACCACAACTATCTTAAAAAATAAACAACTGGTACAATCATTTTATTTTTTTTGAACTAACAAGAGATCCCACCATTGAAATTAGGAATAATAATAGAGTTATAGATTAAAGATTTGCAAACCTCCCATTTTAAGAAAATAAGTAATTCTTGATTTTTCTAAAGTTAACATAAACAACAATTCAATGTTAAAAATCCAACCTCTTCGAATTAAAAAATGAAAAAAGAAACTAAAATTACGTTGGACAATACTCATGTGAAAGAGCTTGAACAATGAAATGAAAGGCTTRACTTTAGAGTTCGATCTGGTTTTCATCATTTTCGCTTAAATAACAAAAAATGAAAGAGGGGAGTGTTTTAATTTCCTTTGTTTGTTGACCGCAGTGCCGATATTTTTCTTTTGTTTTGGCTTTTAATTAGCCTAAAAGTTGTAGAGTTGGTCCGATCTCTCTTTCCATTGTTTCACTGACAAAACCAACCTTTCAATTTGACTTAACAAAACGACTTCGACTTTAGAATAATAAATCGAACGGGTAAGGCTAAGATAAGGGCATGTTCATAATCCGTATTCAAATTGCTTGCTTGACTGATTAAGAGAGTTTGGACGGGAGAAGAGGCTTTGATGACGAAACGAAGGTACAAAGTGGATTTCTCATGGCCGTCATATTTGATTTTAAGATAATATATTTGATTTATCTATTTACACTCAGTGTGAAATTTCATCAAAACTTATTTTGTTAACTAAGTACAATGCTTTCTATTGATTGTGCAGCAAAGAGACTTGCATTCTTCATCATTTAATTTTATACCACTAGTAGATAGCTAAAAGTAAGTAATAAATAACAACAATAAAAAGTCTACCGGAGAGACAACAATAATTCATATAAGAAAGTACACATAATATTTATTAATACATTATCAACCACATATATTCTTATATTAAAAACAAATGAAATCAAGAGCTTAAACACTTCAACTGGTGTATTTTGTATCAGTCAACTCTTATTTTGATACAACAATACTTCAACTTGTGTATTTTGTATCAGCCAACTCTTATTTTGATACAACAATAAAGATTTAGACATCCAAACTCAAATTAATTAGTTATATGTATTTGTCATCAAGCTATATTCATATTGGTGTGCTATTCGTCTTTTAAAGTTCGGCCAGTTGAAAAAATCTAATGAATGAGTAAACCATAACTAACTTGAACAAAAATGGTACATGTTATCATCAAAAGGTAGGTAATGGTTGAATATGTATATATAATAATAATGAAATAAAACAAAACAATAAATGGCACATCGGATTCTTATTATTTTTTTTTGTCAGTCCCATCTTTATTGCCATTGCATCCAAAAGTTCGAACTGTAATCTGAAAATTGCTTCCAACGTGTTTGTTTGCATAACTGTACTTTATCGCCTCTTAGAACCCACCAAGGTGGGGGTTGGGCTTCCAGTTGTAATACTGGGCTGGGCCCAATTTGGGCCATCAGCTTTGGTGGGGTACTAAATGGCCCACAATTCAAACCCACTAATTATTTCGACACTCCATTTCCTGCCCCCCGTGTGTTTTGGTGTCCGTTACTTCATACACATCAATAATTGTTCCATTTTTTATTTTTATATATTTTTTCTTCCATCATTGTATATTTCTTTTTAGTAAAACAATTGACAATCGGAACTTACAATTTTTTGGTTTGAAATAATACGTCAATATTTAGCTATGGAGTCTCAAATTATCAATGGAGAGTCGGTGATAGTACGATTTTTTGGTTGGTGATGGTATATTTTTTGTCTATGCTCGTTTAAACAGTATTTCATCATTGTACTTAAACATACAAAAACAAACATTTTTCTCTATCAATTTATTTCCATTTATTAACTAACCCCAAACAAAACTGAGATGGCTAAGACCTATTTTCGATCAACATATCATAAGTTTGTAATTGTGTTCCCATTTTATGTGTTGTTATACTAAAAATAAAAAATCAAATCTCTTATAACATCTGAACACGTACATTTGATAAGGCTTACCCACTCCACTAATGCTTTATTACGTGAGTCATGTTAAGTAGACTATAAAATTCATTAGGATAAACTAAGTTTTTTTTTATTAAGTTCAACGATATATGTGGTGAAAATTCGAACCTTTGACTGATTATATATATCTTAATATGTCTAACTTGTACCAAGATTTAGTCCAAGTAAGATTTAGTGGGTAAATTTTTGACCACACAAATTTATGTATACTCTTGTTGTAATCTTGAGGGGAAAAATAACTTTTTAACTCTAAACTTGGTTATTTATATCATTTTTTGTCGTACATTTTTTAGTTTGTTAAATTAAATAATAGGGTTAAATACATGTTGCAATTTTTACTATTTAGGAAGTTTTGTTAATTCAACCATTAATTCTAATAAAAAAACTTAAATAAAGCTCATTAATCTAATGAAAATCAAACTTTACACAAAATTAAGTTCGATGAAGGCATAAAATTGCCATTAAATAATTATGTCAAAACTTACAAAATTCGAAAAAAAAAATCTATTGTTTTTGTCTTAATCCCGACAATTTAATTTCAAATAAATGTTCTATAATTTATTTGCCACGCATAAAAATAATTTTTTTCCATCAAAATTTCAAATGAAAAGGGTTGAACACTATAATACTTTATAGAATTTAATGTGAATATTGTAATATTTAATATTTATCTAAATTTAAGGTAGAACCCAATAAAATTGAAAGTTTAGATAAAAATAATACATACATAACAAAATTTAGCGCTAAAATTGATATACTCTCTCATTTTTTTAACAAAATAAATGTAGAGAAAAACAGTATTTAAATATATTTTATTTAATGTTTTGTATATTTCTAAAATAAATAAATTTTATTCCTCTATTTTTCCAGATATGATGATGCTTTGAGAATTATTATCGCCCCTGCCACCAAGCGTGAAGGAGATCGAATCTGAACCGTCCACGTCAGACGCGGGCCACAAGAGGGTCCCACATTATCCCTTGCAATGCTCCCTCAAACGTAGGAAGGAAACGACCCCACCCACCGGACAAACCTCGAAAGGAAGGGCAGAGATTGAGATGTGAAGAGAGAGAAAAAAAAAGTCAGAAGGTGAAAATTACAGAAACGTCCTTCCTCTCTTTCCCTCCTACACGTTTGCAGTCCGTAGAGAAGGACCAGGAAATCGGGTGACGTGTACAACTGCCGCCCATTCGGCGCTTGCTTGACCTCCGGGCTTCCGTTGAAGAACATTTCTGGCTCAAGCAAGAGAGAGAGAGAGAGAAAGAAGAGAGAGAAACAGAAGAGAGAGACGCAAAAGTCTCTGTTTCACTTTACGCTCCTCCCCTCCACCTCGCTCTCCTTTCTTCTCCTTCCACGGAAGAGAAAATTCTTTCCCTCTCTCTTTTTCAAATTCGAGGTATTATTTTCAATTCCGCTTTGCGTTAGAATCATTGTAGTCACCTACATTGTCCTTTACGTTGGCGGAATGAAACGCATTCTTTCCAAAACTTTGATTCCGTTTTCTCTAGGGTGTTTTAGGATCTTTCCTGGTTTATCTGTGGATGTTTCAGCTATGTTTTCGTAACCATCGCTCTTCTGATTTGCTGATTGATATGGTGCTCTGATTTGCGGATACGAAGATGGCTAACCGAAACGCCGAGCCTTCTCAGGTTTTTTTTTTTTTTGTTTCTTTCACATTAGCTTGAAGCGTACCGTGTTTTTGATCGTTTTGATTTCTACTGGTTTGGTTTTTTGCCTTCCGTAAATGTCCGTGGTATTTGTCTTGAGATGAATATGTATACACTTGAACCTATCGTTTGGTGTTGTAGGGAGAATGCGGCGCTCCTCCGCCTCCGCCGCCGCCTCCTCCACACGATCCTTCATCTGGTGCTCGTGTTGGCAACACGGTAATTTTTTTTTAATGCTTGTTAATTTCTTTACTTCTTTTGTATTTTGAATTTGATCCTTCGCAGTTCAAGTATTCGTCGTATTTCCTCAATGGCTTGACGTCGAGATTTCATTTATATGCTCCTGCTTTTCGCAAAGTCTGCGTGTTGGCATTTCGTTAAAATGATTGTTCAATAAGTATTTTGGACGAGCGGATTAACTCCTTTGCTAAAGTTACAAGTATAACAAATTAATTTGATTGGCGTCGCATGAAATTACAGTGCGAGATGGAAGTTAWGGTTCTGGGATTCCTTGCAAAGAAACTTTGGGAATTAGAGTTTGACAAAATGAAGAGTAATTAGCTAATAAAACAAACTGGCAGTTAGTCTGCCGCTGTGAATGTTGGATGTAATAATAAAATTAGAAAATAATATATTCCATTAGCTGTAATGATTGAGGAGCTGATATTACTGAGTTCTGTAGAGACCGAGGCAAAATGAGTTTTTGGCATTAGCGTTTAGTGACTTTGATATTTATTGGACGTCACCGTTTGTTGCATCTGCTCTGAAAATGAAAGGAACGTTTTATGTTTACCAACCTATATAGTTCCATCATTGATTGAATCAGAACAGTGCCAAGACTTCAGCCGGTAACAACAAATGTTTCAGAAGAGTCGCAACTTTATAAGCAATATAACTATCTATTTATCACGTGTAGCAGGTTGTGTTTTTCTCATGTATGTTTTGTGGAGGAAAGTTGTAAGCTACATAACTGAAGTGTTTAACTGTATTGCAGGTTTTCAAGAGTGGACCACTTTTCTTATCATCTAAAGGTGTGTTTTATTAGGGAAATATGTAATTATATTATATTAAGTGTGAGATAGCAAGATTTTGGGATACACCTTACACCTTTCATGTTAGGCGTTTAGAGCATCGATTCTTCATAGTAGTGACAAGTGTTGATTTATACTCCTTGAAGTTGAAAAAATTATGTTTCTTACTGGACCAAAATAAAAAAAAAAAAGAGAGAAATTGGAAAAGTTAACAGTGCCCTGAAATTTGTTCCTACTATTCACATATACATTGTTCTGGTTTTTATGTAATCAACTTATGTGTGTTTTTACCTAGTCCTTTCTTCCCAATACATCTAATTTGTTTGATTGTAGTTATCGGTTCAGTTATTGCAATCACCTTAAATGTCTTTTTGTGCAGATTATATTTCAGTTTGATGTTTCTTTTCCATGTCTACTCAACTTATAAACTTTAATACACTTGGTTGCAATAATAAGATTTGAGAATTGAGCCTTAATAATTGTCCTTTTCTTTTTCCCAAAAAAAAAAGGGATTGGATGGACGTCCTGGAAAAAGCGATGGTTCATTCTAACACGTACTTCACTGGTTTTCTTTCGAAGTGATCCAGTAAGTGGTTTTACTTTTTATATTTGGTCATGATTGTTGCAATTACCTTCTAAATAGTTCTTTAGATATTTATATCATTGGATTATTTATTTATTTAGGATTTGAAGGCTAGAAGAGTTAATTTCACTGTATATTTATTTTTTGATCTTTTGCCCGAGTCTGGTTTTGAATTTCATTTAATTTGGGTGATTTAGAGCTAGCTTCATGACCATGTTTTAAGTGGGAGGATGAGCCACTGGGAGTTAGTAATCTCTCTGTCGCATAAAAAGAAGCTGAAGTGATTTTTTTCTTTTTGGATAAGAACCTTTTATAGACAAAAAAGAGAAAGAAAACAACATAGGGGCAAGGAGCTGAGAGGACCCTCTCCCAAACAGAAAGCTACTTGAGAAGAACTCTCCAATCTTGAATTTGAATAATCAAGGAGAGGCTATAATTACAAAAGAATTTCCTGTGTCTAAAGCACCACCAAGAAGATGAGAGCTGAAGTGATTTTAATATCACTTTTAATTTGTTTGTGTTGTGCACAAGATAGATACATGTGTATTGCATGCTATCTGTTATGGTTGATTCTTTATCTTTTTTATTTCCTTCTGAAGCTTTGAGTTTTGAACATTTAGTCTATTGTTTCTCTACCTTTCAGAATGCTGTTCCTCAAAAAGGAGGTGAGGTGAACTTGACTCTTGGTGGCATTGATCTCAACAATTCAGGCAGGTTAGCTTGTTTTCTGAATTTAGATGTGCTTGAGTTATTTCTACAAGGAAACTAGGGCAGCACACTAATTTAGTGGTATTACCATACATTTTCAAGTGTTGTTGTGAAAAGTGAAAAAAAACTCTTGACTGTGCTCTTTCCTGATGGTCGAGAAGGACGGGCATTCACACTCAAGGTGCTATCTTTCTCTCTCTCTGTACCACCTTTTTCCTTCTATCATTTCTTTAGCTGAAGTGAGACTTTTCTCTTTGCCTCTATAAGCTTTTAGGTTCTTCATTTGTGTCTTCTGTTCTATCATTTTGTTCACTTTCCTACGATTGACATACAAGTTTGTCAATGCTCACTGTAAAAGTTTTCTAGCATCCTTCATTTAATTTATCTAAAACATTAGCTTGTTAAAATTCTCAAGTCCATTAAGGAGATTAGTGTCATGAAAAAATGCAGATGTTGGAGTCTTGAATTGATTTCTTAGATTTGTTTTTTTAATTTTTGACAAGCGTTCTTAAATATAGGGCATAGTTTGGATTGCAATATAACTTCATTTTAACTTGGATTGGACGCTCTTCAGAGAAAGAAGTTGAAAGTATTTAAAATGGATCAAAAGTAAATGAAGGGTGTTTTTGTTCATCTTGTATGTACCTCACAGCCTGCTGCAACGTATGTTATCTAATGCTCTGCAGGCTGAAACATTGGAGGATCTCTATGAGTGGAAGGCTGCACTGGAAAATGCTTTGGCACAGGCACCTAGTACTGGCCATGCTAATGGTATCTTGAAGAATGATAAGATTGAGCCAAATAATGGGTCTTCAGAGCCGTGTATGCTTTTTCATCCAGTTGTCTTTGGAGACCACTTATTTTATTTTATTTCTAGTTCGTAGTTCCAGTGTTTGTTCAGTTCTTTTAATGTTTGTCCTGTTAGCATAACTGCGCAAGAGAAGGTTGTACCATTAACGGATTAAGCTACAATTCAGACTTATAGTCTACATTGGATTTAGGCTGTATATCCTTCACGTGGTTACATTTTCCAGAAGCTTTTCCTTTTGATTTAGTGAATATTGTGTGTATTCTGCTCATGTATAACTGCGAACTTTCACAGTCCTGTTTGGGTGATGCATGGGAATGTACCAAAATTCAAGTAACGCGATGATGGAAAAACTATTATATCTAATTAAATAATTATATATGTTAGAAATTTTGCAAAGAAAACTTTTTTCTGATGCTTTGTTCTCATGTATTTAAATGTATTAGTTTTTGGGTTTGTTCATGTTTGATATTTATGTGATGCGTTCATGATCTTTTTATCTCTCTCACTTAGTTCTTTACTCGGAGTTTCACCTATACATTGAATAAATAGATTGGTTTGTTTTGTTTAATTGTCATTTGATCCATGGGTCCGTGTTTGTAATATATTTCAACTTCAGTAACTTCCATGCTTTTCTTCATTCTTCTCTTCATTGATTCATTGATGATTTCTATATATCTTTTCCAGCGAAGGATAGCCAACCACAGCTTGTAAGACCAAGGGTCCTTGGCAGGCCAATTTTGCTTGCTTTGGAAGATGTTGATGGAACTCCCTCTTTTCTGGAGAAAGCCCTTAGGTTTATAGAGGACCATGGTAGATTAATCTAGCATATGAAATTATTTTTCTGCCAAAAATCTTATATTATAGGTTAATTTTTGAACTAATGGATCTGAATTAATAATAGGAGTCAAAGTAGAAGGCATTTTGCGACAAGCTGCAGACGTTGATGATGTTGAACGTCGTTTGCGGGAGTATGAGCAGGGTAGTTATTTGATTATTGTAATGATCGTCCAGATTTAAGTTTGCTGTTGTCATTATGTTTCAGTCCATACGACTGACAAAATTCACAACTTTATTTTCTCACCTACTGATGGGATGAATAGTACACTTCCAAATACTTCCCCAAACTACCCACAAAAGATTAGGTGGTTGTTAACTGTGATATTTGGAGTCTTTTCTTTATATTGCTACATGATTGTAGTTATACTTATTTACTGGCCTTGTTTACGGTTCTCTTCTCATATTCTTTTTAATTTGACTTTTGAAAAATTCATGTCAATGGGGTCAATATGTCGGTTCTTATGACTGGAATCTTAAACATTAAGAATTAAGATAGTTTGTGAAGAGCTCCTTATCAGAAATATTATTTGTTCATGCTTTATTTATTCTGCAGGAAAATGTGAGTTTTCTCCAGAAGAAGATGCACATGTCGTTGCTGACTGCGTGAAGGTAGAAAAGTTATTTAAAATTTGAATACTGATAGCAATCCTTTCACAAATAGTTGTTGCCTGCTGTAGAAATCTTCTTCCATCTAATGTCTTTTACGTGCTATTCCAGTATGTCATCCGGGAGTTACCATCATCTCCAGTTCCAGCATCTTGCTGTAACGCATTACTAGAAGCATGCAGTAAGTACACCATTGGAGCACCTAATTTTAATAAATAATTTAAGTTTCCATGTGTCAGGTGGACAACTTTTTATACATTCTTTCACAAGACAAATCATGACATATAAATGAGAAATGACGAAAGCATAAAAATACAGATGCAAATAAAAAAATATACTAGTGACATGCTATTTTTTAAAAACAAAACTAGAATGTGCACGTGTGGAGTAAAATATATTTGCTTGAAAACATATTTGTTTATCGATTACATTCTAATAATTTTATTAATTTTGATTCATGAGAATTTTTACCCTGTAAAATCTGGGATCAAACTCATTGTTTTGTTTTCATATTCATTTCATAACCTATTATTATTATTATTATTTTAACGTAAAAAATGTGAAGCTATAATTTTTCACTCTTAAATGTCTACTAAAGAATGTCCTATTGCCTCTCTCTCTTTTTTTACTTCGAATGCCCATTTGTCTCTATAAATTTCAGAAGAAGACAGACTCTTTTTTGAGTTCGGGTCTTTCTTTGAGTATGATCTGGCTTTTGGTCATTCATTATTTTTTGTGGAAGTTAGGATTATTGTTAAAAAGAAAATTTGATTGACGACTTCAGCAGCACTTTAGTTTTATTAGGGTCAATGTTCTCGAGATGAAAGAAAATGAAATTTACAGACTGATAGAACCACCCAGCCTCTGAATGTCATTGATCAGATGAGGGAAAAAATACAACTAGAATAGTTTAAAATAAAAAAAAAAAAGAATACTTTACAATAACAAATGAAGTTTAGTATCTAAATAAGTTCTGCTACCATCCTTGGAAAGTAACAAATTAACTGAAGCTTGAAATAAAAGCAAATTGATTACGTTAAAGTTCCGAAGTAGATATCTTGCTGGAAAAATCTCAATTGTCTCAAAGTTTTCCTTCAGTATTCTATAAGTATAACATGCCTAGTGTGGATCAGATCATTGGTGCGCACATGCACACAAGCACTCACACACTGTGGGTAGCACAATTTGAATTGACATCAAAACCGGATCGTGCAGAGACACATCTAGGAGAGTAAGAATGCTTTCAATAGAACAGAAGCAACAACATGATAAACACGAAGGAAGATTACAACCTATCTGTTGTTGGCCAATTCAAGAGGGCCGACATTTCTCCAAAAGTACATAAGAACTCACAAAATAGAACACACCGAACTAATTTTTCTTGCCCCTATAGTATGTATATCCCACACAATTATCTTCTTAAAACAGTTACTAAAGCTAACTAGGAGTAAGATCCTTATACATTCTACCCTTTCTAACACGAACTTTAGTTACCAGAGGTCTAACAGCATCCTTTTTGTTTTTTTTTGGAAGATCTCTCTCTCATTTTATTCATTATTCTTATAATCTTTTCAACGAGTTTTATGTTGTCTTTTCTAGCCACCTATTTTTTTTCCTTATTTATTTTTTATAAATAGCTGTAGTTTAAAATATGTTCTCTCTTATTTTTGTGCTGTATACTCCATACTAGAAACTGATCGAGGTATCAGAGTAAATGCTATGCGATCTGCAATATATGAAACCTTTCCAGAACCAAATCGCCGTTTACTGCAGAGGTATCTATAGCCTTGCTTTTTCTGTTTTGTGATTCTTTTTTATTTTAAATTTAAAAGTTGATAGAGAGAATCAATGTTGGTGATTATAATCTATTTTTGATCATAAGCAATGTAACCATATATTTATAATTTATGTTTGAATCCACCTTATGCTGTCCCCAAGATCAAGTGCCGATGTGCGATTTTATAGATGTGTCAGCTATAAGATCTTTGAGTCTAAAAGAGCTATTTGTAGTTTATTCGAAGTTTTGACCATTTTACATCATGTAGAATTTGTCTATTGTCTGTCATGTGTGTTTATATTGTGAGTTCTTATAAAAAAAATCTTGTGAGTTCTCCGTTATGGAGAATTTGGTAGATAAGATTTATTGTAAATTGTAATGCTATTTTGATAGATATTTGTGCTAGTTTGTAGACAAACACGGATTGACTTGGATGTCAGATGTGTGATGGTTAGGCATATATAAGTCATGCAATGTTTGGGAGTAAAATAAAATTTGTTCTAAATAGACTTTATCAAGTAGTCCTGTAGGTTGGACCATTTTAGAGACTGTAAGAAAATGTTACATTGAAGTTGAATGCGTCTTTAACAGATATAGATTGATGGGAGGAGTATGTTATGACGAGGGACATACCAATGTCAAAAGTCTGCAATGGTCAGGAGGACCAAGACCATTTATTCTCAAATTATGAGTTTTCCAAGAGTTTATGGAGGGATCTTTTGCAATCTTTAATTACCAATGCTATAGGCCTTGAAGTGTTAAAGATTTCATTGTGCAGACGTTCATGGGGCATTTCTTCATGATTTTCTTGTGTCACGCTCCTATTAATCTCTGGCGATCAAACAAAATACTTTTAATGGTACTCCTGTTGCATGTTCAAATGGTCATATCTCATAGGGAAATTTAGTCATTTTCTACTTCAGAAAGTAATTCTTTTGTTCCAGTCACCCTTTTGGTACCGATTTAGCTTTTAGATGCATCTTTTTGTTCACAATTTTTTCTCTCTTACTCCTGCCTCAGAATTCTCATGATGATGCAAACTGTAGCTTCTCATAAAGCTGTGAATCGAATGAGCTCTTCAGCTGTGGCAGCTTGCATGGCTCCCTTACTCCTTCGTCCTCTTTTAGCTGGTGATTGTGAGATTGAAACTGATTTTGATGTGGGGGGTGATGGTTCTATTCAACTTCTGCGTGCAGCTGCAGCAGCAAACCATGCTCAAGCCATAGTTATTACTTTACTGGAGGAGTATGGCAAAATTTTTGGGGTAACTATTGTATTTGTTCTTATATTTCAAAATTTCTAGTATGATGTAGATATGCACGAGAAGGCTAGAAGGATTATTATTACTACTATATATATATATATTTTTTTTTTGGTAAGAAACCAAAGATTATATAAATTGATTACAGTCTAAGGACAAAGGATGAGAAATCCCCCTTCCCAAAAGACCTATATAAGTACAGCTTTCTAATCTCTGCTGACATAGATAAACTGTGATTACAAAAGAATTTTTGGTTGTTTAGACACCACCTAGAAGCAGTAATTTGTAATTTATACACTACTACATATTATTATTATTATTTAGTTTTTTGCTTTTTGATCACATTATTATTATTACTTTTTTGTATATTCTACTTTGACTTGATCTTTAACTGTTATGAATCTATGATGAGGTAGCATGCCATGAGAGGGATGTCATGTTGCATTTTGGATAAAAGTTTGGTTTCAACTTGGTGGATGTAATGCATTCTTCTCTTTTGAGTGCGTCTATGTGCACATATGTGCATCTCTCGGCCTAGCTAGTTTTATTTCTGAATACTCATGATTTTTGTGGTTGCTCCAAAAAGAAAATAAAAATATCGGATGTAGCATATTGTTTTGAAATATATATTTTTTTTCCTATAAAAAGATGTAAGACTGCGAAAAAATCTTTAAATGATCTAAAGGAATCTAATTTCATGTATTTAGTTGTCATAGTTAAAAATAGTTGAAAAGTTAGTCACCTTGTAATTTGAGATCCATAAGTTACTAGTGTGATTGCAGGAAGGTTCTATGTCCCCTATATTGTACTCTGACGAAGAGAGTGGAAGTGAGAGTGAGGAAGCAACTGATGATGATTTGTCTTATGATGATGAAGAACAAGATGATGCCACTGGTTCTGATGCAGAAACAGACGAGGAGATTGAATCAAATGGAACCTGTAGTGGAAGTGTTAAATCTGAAAAGCATGATTTATATGACAATAAGGCATGTCTCTATACTTTCTCAACTGAGATACATAGATATCTGATAAAATGGTATTATCACCATCATCCTGTAAAAGTCTGCAAAATGGTAATATCACCGTAATCCTCTTGTACTATTAACCTAGAGTTGATATCTAGCCATATATAATTTTTTGATAAGAGATATCTGACCATATATTACACTACAAGCTTTTATTTTATTTTAACTTATTTTCCATTTTCATCCTTCTGGGGGGACGAAGTAGGTTCCATTCTGGATAATCAGATTAGAAATTCTATCAACATCTTAGTTAAAATTAGGAGGGAAAAAAATTATTAGACACATAAGAAGCAGGAAAGTCAAGAGCCCCACATTACGTACTAATTTTTCAAGATGCCTCTCTCCTTTACCCATTTTCTTTTGACAGAGGCTTTCTCCCTTACTACTACATACTCTTATTCAGTATTTTTCTCCAACATAGCCTTCTAACCAATCTCCTTCCTTCATGGCTTCTGGTTCCCTTTACTGTCAGACTCAAGAGTATCCATGCATGTAAGGGCAGAAATGCCCTTACAAACCTCACTTGATACACTGTCTCCCCCCTAATGTAAGTCAGTTTGATTTGTCAGCTCATTCGGCTCATCATCATCAGATAACTTCATTCAGATGCAAAATAGTCCAATTCCAAGTTTACATTTGTCGTGTTTTGAAATATGATCTCTTGCTTTTAGAATGGTTCAGAATGAGTTGACCGATTCTTTTCCCAACTGGCTGGGTCCAATGACAAAATTTAATCAAGCATCAATCGGAAAAGATGACAATATTTACTCTTATTATACTGCAGGGCATTGAAGTATCAAGTATTATTTCGAAGAATTCTGATGAGTGTGATCTAAATAGAACAAAACCAAGCTTTTCATCAAGTTCCTCAAAAACTTCTTTGCCTAGACATGGAGAAGTTCGAAGCAAGCAGCGCAACCAGGACCAAGTTGATCCAGGTAGAGGTGGTTCACCAATCCAGGATGACAAGTCTTGTGAAGTTGAATTTCCATCTGAAGAGGCAAATAGCTTTGAAGGTTCTCCAACTACATCTAATAGAAGTTCCCACATGTCAAGGCGTCTCACTGTTTGGGGACGCACGCCTGTGAGTAAAACTTTCATTGACAGCGACACTCCTTTTTTCTCCCCCATTTCCTGCAAGCCTTCTGCATCCCATTTTGCTCAACCCTCACCTTCTTCCTAGGGTGCAACATAGACTATAGTTTTTGTTGTTGCTATAGATACATTTGGATTTTCTTCTTCATATGTTTCTTTAAATCTAGCATTTTCCTTTTCATGTTTCTGCTGCTAGTTTAACTAGCTTTACTTTTTGACACAAGCGCAGGCAAAGAAGAACCTCTCCATGGAATCCATTGATTATGCACCCGATGAAGAGTAAGTGATGATCCATATTTTGCATTGCCATTAGCAAGAGTCCTTGTGTAGTATGAATTATCAAACACTGGTATAATATATATATTATGCTTCTCTGGTTTCTTTTTGTTTCTTTTGTTTGTATCATTTCCTATATTTATAGGGAATGATTGTTCTACAATCAAATTTTCCATAGAAATTGAGGAATGTGGATTGGAATTTACATTTCCTTGTAATTTTTCTTTAACAAAAAATCACCTTGGTTTATTTTTTCTTCACCAGTCATCCATCTAAGGACTGGGTATGACATTTCCTGATTATTTCAATTCAGGGTTTAAAAATCTTTTTGTTCATTACTGCATAATAATTCTTAATGACTTCGTTACTCTGAAATTTTCAAGACTAGTCCAAATATATGAATTGAAAATGCTGTGGGGTGGGTGATATTGTTTGGAATTTGGATTGAGTTTTATGATCATGAGACTTTTCCTTACATGTTCTAGATTGTCGACAGCATTGTTTTCTTGTGCGTTTTCTTTGTTAGATTATTTCAAAAAAGAATTTCTTAATTTCTTTCTTTATCATAGTAACTTTTTCCTAGGTAAATATTTTCTATATTCATTTAGAAGTTGTACTTATAACTGTAACTGCGATAGTTCAATTGGAAAAGACAAGTTGATATACTCATCTAGAGTTCTCAATTACACCGATTACATTCTTTTTCCTGCAAAATCACCGATCACATTGTTATACATTATACCAATCTCTTCAAATACTTACAACATTAACCTTGAACGTCTTGGGAAATGGTCATTTTTGCACATGTTAATTTTTTTTTTCTTTCTAATATATATTTGTTTAATAGAAGGTTCTCCACGACACCTAAATTTTTCATTATCCTTTGTCTCGTAGATATTCTTTGACATCTTTTTGTACTTGTTTCAGGGTTGAAATCCAGAAACTTGAGGCTACTAAATGTGAACTGCAAAATAAAATCTCGGAGGAGGTAAAGGATCCTCAGTGCCCTTTTTTCCTGGTGTTTCATTTCTGGTTCTTCAATCTTTACAAGACTTTAATATTTCCTGTTACAGGTTAAAGAAAATGCGATTCTGCAATCCAGTCTGGAAAACCGAAAGAAGGCCTTGCAGGAGCGTCGTCTAGCTCTTGAGCAAGAAGTAAACTCTTCATTGACCATTAATCCCACTGCTTTCTAGTTTGATTTTCTTTATCCTCCATTATGTGATTGCTGTGTCTAAGTCTATGCAACTGGAAATTTCAACCCTTTTGACTCTTTCCAAACTCTGCACTCTTCTTTTCATTTTTTGGTTAGCAGCAAGAATGCACTTTATTTAATTATGTAAATTTTTCTTGTGTTTTTGCAAACTACCTTAAGTTGACCCAATAGTCCAAGAAACAAGTTATAGTTTGGATACCTTTTAGGGTATTAGTTCGAGTTTTGTAATTTTATTTACATTTGTTTCTGCCAACTACCATATGTTGACCCAATTTTTAAAGAAACATGTTAGCCTGGGATACCTTTTAGGCTTCGGTCCAAGTTATCAGATTCATAATATATCTAAGATAATTAGTATGTTCTTTTTAGTTCAAATGTTATAAGATGAAATAGTAGTTGTGTGGATTATTCAAGGTGGACCATAGTTGGCCTGGACGCCCACTATTATATTACAAAATTTAGCATGTTTATGCACATTCTAGTGATTATTAAAGTTGCAAAGTTAACTAATGAGATAAAGACTAAATCGTGATCAGTAATTGTGTGTTCAGGTGGAAAGACTAAAAGAACAGTTGCAAAGGGAGAGAGATCTGAGGCTGGTTCTTGAAACAGGACTTAAAATTTCTCAAGGCCCGTTACCCAATTTAGCAAATATTAGTGAAAAGGTCAGTTTGTCTAATGCTTTTAATTCTATTTAGTAGGATTACGTGACAGATTTCCAGTGCTATAATGTGTTAGCTATTCGTTTAGACAAAGGCAGATCTTGAAGAACTAGATCAAGCAGAGAAAGACATTGCCAACCTAAACAACATGGTGGATGATTTTGAAGGACAGCTTGGTAGGCTACGTGAACAGAAAAATAATTTGTCATCTGATTCACGTAACGTCTCCCAACAAGGACAGAATCATCAAGCAAAATTGTAGGTTTCTCTTTTCCGAAAGTTCATTCCTTCTATAAACGTATGATATCATATTAGTATTTTTTGCATGGGTCAATGTTCATATCTTTTTCAACCTTTTCTTATGTGGATAGTAATCTAATTATTAATGTGAGATTAACGATTCAATGGGTACAGGAAGGATAAGAAGAAGGATGCTGGAGCTTTAGCCCCTTCGCATAAGGTAAATCACTTTCGACCAAAACTGACCTTTGCACATAGATTGTTCTTGTCAATTGTAGAGTTATTTGCTGCTCATGTGTCAGTCCATTCTGTGAACTTGGAGGTTGATTTAATAGGTTGTGAGCGCCAATTTTTTCTCACGCTTGATAATGACCTGATAAGAGATATCCAGTTCCTTCATTCCTTATTATAACTCTTTACGGATATAGATACCAACATCACTGCTACAACACTGTTATTCTCAAAGCACGTCTCCTCCTCAGCTGAATTTAATTGTATAATAGCTACATTTCGATAGGCCTCAGTTGGCCTATCTGCAAAATACTCAATTAATCACCCAAAACAGAACACAAGAACAACAAGAAACCTCAACTCTTTGAGAGGCCAAGCACTCTCCTCCTTGAAGATAAATTCTCTAAGGCCAATACAAAGACTGAATTCCCGGAATTCCCGGCTGTTGCAAACAATTTCCTCTCCCTCACCAAATACCCTCCCTTACGACATATTGCTGTGACCACCTAACAGAAAAAATGGGGGGCCCACTCTAGTGCACGCACTCTCAAAAAGTTAACGAACTCTCTTGCTCGTCATTCTTCCTTTTTCTTTTCTTTCTTCAGCTATAAACAAACTTTACGGCAGGTGGCTCCCCCATGTTCCCATCATATTTCCATATTTTTAATCACACCTTGTTTCTTCACTAGAATGCTATCTATGATCATGTTGAAGTCATAAATCGTGGGCATGAACTATTATTACTATTTTGATCATGTTGAAGTCATGAATCGTAGCCACATATTTAAGTTATTTTTTAAGGCCTTGAGGAGCATCGCAAGATTGTCTTCCCAATTCTCGATACGTGTCATGTTGTCTAGCTTGTCAACATATTGATGATATTCATTAAGCCCACTGATGTGCTTTTAGCAGGATATTCAATCGGGTCAGGCAGAAAGTGAAAATGAAAAGAAGACGGAACCATCATCTTCCATTGTTAAACATTCCCCTCCATACCATAATCTTGATCCTCGTAATGCCAATGTTAGATCACCGACCAATTTATCTGCTTCTGAGACAGTACCAAGGCTAGCGACTATAGTCAATGCTAAGAGAATTGCTGCGAGGGTTGAGGTAGGTTGTTGTTTTGATTCAACTGTTGCCCCAGTTTTGTTGCTTGTTTTATCTCACTATTATTACTAAATTATTTGATATTTACGTAAGTCGATCAAGCTTTGTAAAAAGATAACAATGTCATTGTGTGAGATTCATGTTTGTGTATTTTTGCTGGATGGATGCCTAGAAAATTATATTTGTCATAACTATGTATCTTGAAATCCTTGTCAAGATCATTATTTATATTGTTGCATTGTTGCAATGGCTAGATAGCACTTGACTTTTTTTGTACACTAATATGATCGTGGTAGTTTTTTTAGTACAACATGTGAGGGTGGGGATTCGAACTCGGTCGGAGATAAATTACTTTAATTAGTAGAGTTATGCTCAGATTACCTATAATCTGATGCTGTTATTCTCTAACGTTTCACTTATTATGAATACAACAGGGTTCAAATCATACTAATTCAGCATTGACAAAGCTTACGACTAGACTCAACTTTTTGAAGGAGCGTCGCAGCCAGATAGCAAATGAACTCCAGAATATGGACCGAGGCCGAGCCTCAGGCCAACCGTTTGAGAATTCCGAAAAGGGCAGGGGACTTGAATCTCAGCGCTTGAGCCCAAATTTGAATGATATTCAAGGGTCTGACATGCAATCTATGCGAAGTCCAGAAACTAGCAAGATGGCCAACAATCTCCAATCCATTCAGGACTCCGATAAGAGAGCGGGAACTGATGGCAGCCATGCCTGAAAATCGGATGCTGATAAAGGAACAAGATCAGGAGGCCAAAGCCAGAGCAGTTTGGATAGAGGAAGATCAGAAAGGCAATCTGCCCCTTGATACAGATTAAGGTCCTGGAAATGATAGCAGCAGCAGACCTTTGGCAACGCCAAGGTTGAATACCAGATGATACTGAGTGAGTTTTGAAGACCTCTTCTGATTTATCAGTTTATTCTGGCCTTGTGAAGTGGTTGAAATTTGAATTTGACTCTGAGGTCTCAAACTGTGAAGTGAAGAACCTTCACACTGGAAAAAAAAAATAAAAACAAAAAAAGAAGCCAAGATGTACAGATGGAACCAGTTTCTTGGTCAAAGCTGATGATTTTCTTTTTTTTATTTCCCTTGTTGGTTTCTATTTCTTCTTCTGGGTCAGTGAATAGTTCAAATATTGTATAGGAAGGATCATCTCTATATGCCCATAGCATAAAATTGAGATGACCATTTTAAATTATTTCCAAGTTTATTGTTTGAATTAGGTGATATTCCATTGTATGAACGAGAACAGAAGAAATAACCCACTTGAATTATATTCAAGTGATCATATATTAGTGCTCTTTTTTGAATTATTTTCTTCTCATTTGAAATTTAATATTATTGAAATTGAATAGAAATGAATCTCTAATAATGTAAATTATAAACGCCCACAATTTGGGTCATCATAAAGTCAAAATTGGTTGAAAATCTTTCGAACTTGTTCAAGTGTGACAAACAAGACGACAGTGAAAGGTCCCTGCCTTGAAATTGTAGGAATAAATCCTTTGTAGAGAGCCATCGGCCCCTCCGCTTTCACCGTCTTCATCGCACAGTCCAACGCCCCACTGTACGGCGGCGTCGCCCCGCCCTCCACCTTCATATTCATCACTCTCGTCTTTATAACATCCACCGGATTCGACGCCACCGCGGCCACAAACCCCGCCGCGAAACTCGCCGTCACGTGAGTCCCAAGCCCGTCCTTCATCACTCCCTTCTCCAATATCGTCTCCTTTATCTGATCGTACGACGCCAATTGCGACGCCGTCACGATCATCGCGCGGTTCACCGTAAGCGATGACCCGCGCCACAGGCTACCGATTCCCTCCTGCTTCGACATTCGCGTTATCGCGTCCACCACGCCCTTGTAATTCCGCCGCTGACCCGCCGGGAGCCGCCCGTCGGCCTGCATCCTCACCATTGCCACGTCCGCCGGGTTCCCCACCGCCGCCCCAATTCCGCCGGCTATTAGACCCGCCGCGATTTTCCGAACCAGAGGCATGTTCCCGGAGTTCGGGTCGGTCCATTTCGTCTTGAGCACGTCGTAGAGACCCATCCGGGTGGTGGAGTACAGAGTCTGCCGGAGAACGGTGGCGGAGACGCCGGAGAACAGCGCGGCGACGCCTTCGGACTGGACAATCCGCACGCCGACCGAAATGGGTCCGGCGCGCGGCTGCGGCGGCGGAATGTGGAAAGATTCCGGCGACACAACGGCGGCGGAAGGAGTGGCGTTGAATGCAAGAGCTGGGCGGAGATTGGGGAGGGGCGGTTTCTCGCCGTCCAATTGCATCCGAACTTTGATTAGATCGAGAGGGTGAGTGGAGCATCCGGCGACAATGGAAGCGATTCCTCCTTCAGCAAATCCTCTAAAACCCATCTCTGAAATTAAGATGAAGAAGTAACAATAAAGGGATTTGGAGAATGGAGAAGATGCAGAATTGTTGTTGTTAATGGGTGTGGTTTGGATTGAAAGATTAATTTATATGAAGAGAAGAGAAGAGAAGAGAACAAGGCGGGCGCCGGCGGGTGAGTCGTGGAAGCTTACGTTTACGCGTGAGGGTCTAATGGAAGACCCGATGCCCTAATTGGTAATGCGATTCCTCTCTCCAGTTGTTGACTTACTTTGACTTTGACTTTTTCTTTTTCTTTTAGCCTTCTTCTTGGAATCAGTCGCCGGTTTAATTATTTAAACCCAGCCCAACCAACACTAACTCTTCAGTCTTCACGTTTAGCTACATCTTTTTTTTTCCTCTTTCAATTATTTAATAATTCTAAAAATTTCAATTTAGTTTCTAATAATTTAGGTTAAGATCCAATTTCCCGTTTTATGATTTTAAAATTTTCAATTTAGTATTTAATTTCAATCTACATAGTTTTAAAATGTTGAATTAAATCTATATGGTTTAAAAAGTTTCAATTTAATCCTTATATTTGGTTTTAAGTTTCAATTCAGTAGCCAATTGTCAAAGTGAACGTAGCTCAGCGATAATTGGCATATATCTCTAAGAAATTGTAAGTTGATCTCCATCCTCACATGTTGTACCAAAAAAAGATATTTAATGCCAATCTGAAAATATTTTAATAGATAAAAAGGTAATGATTTGTTGAATTCAAAAAGAAAAGTTTCAAATTTAGTGCTTATGATTTTAATCCCTTTAGTTCCAATGAGGTCTATATTGTTTTAAGATTATTTGGTTAATATTACAAGTTTGACATATAAACTTTTGATTTTCTCTCTAAATCTCTAAGCTAACTTTAGCTTAATCAAGTATTTGGTGGTGTAAGCGTTAAACTCATAACTCTCGTAGATTTGCTATTGGTTTCACCCAAAAAGTTTCATACCTTGTCAAATCTTATATATCACATATCACTTCTTCCCCTGCCATAGGAGACTTTTCCTAACCTAATAATCTTATATCCAAATACTCACATGTCTCAATTTAATATTGTTGGGTTTTGGAGCCTAAATCATCAAGAAATACTTATGGGAAGGTTGTTGTCAAAACAATAGAGAGGTAGCACATGAGATGATGCATGCTAACACATGACAAAGCCCAAATCAGCTTTGACCAATATTTGAACTGTAGCACAGGACCAAGGTATAACATGTGTGGCGAGGTTTCAAATTCACAAACTCTTGATTGAAAATAGGTACCAATTAACTATGCTCTCTCGGACTAAAAAAACTCAAAGCAAACTATTTGTGCATACACTTTCATTAATTTTGTTTAATTCTGTTGAAGCAAATAATCACAAAAAAATAAAAGGGATTAGTACGGCCTATTTAGAAATCATAATTACGTAAAAGGATGGAAAAGTATAAAATTTACACTTTTGTCATGAAATAATCCAAAATGATAAATTGGAAGATCAAATCGTTAAAATGTGGTAATGATACTTTTCAAAATTAAAAAATCTCAAAACTCCAAAAAATCATCCATTTTTTAAACCCACCCCTTTCTTCTTCCTCGTTTTTCTTTTCTTCCTCCGACCGTCAGTTTTCCTTCCTCTGATCCTCCGTTCCTCTTCTCCGATCGTCAGTCGCTGTCTGTCTTCCTCTTCGGTCGGCTCCACTTTTCTTTGTCGCAAGAGCATTTCATCTCGCGACCGCTTTCGAAAGGAGATTTCTGTCGATTCTTATTCTCCAGTTGTTTCTGAAAGCCTTTGTCTTCGGCCGACGTCGGCCTGCCTTGATTTTCGGTTGCCTCCATTTTTCTTAGTCGCCATAACAGTTCATCTCCAGATTGAAAGGTTTGCATTCCAATCTGATTTCGTGTGAAATATTGTATATATGAGCATATATAGTATAGTGATTTGATTATGATATATCTTATAACTCAACTTGTATATATGCAGATATGCGGATATATACTATAGTTATTTTGAATGTATATATGCGGATATATAAGTGGATATATCTTATAACTCAACTTTTATATATGGAGATATACGGATATATACTATAGTGATTTTGAATGTATATATGTGGATATATACTATGATTTTGAATATTTTTTTAAATATGCGGATATATGTTTATTGAGACTTCAAAAGATGTTTATGTGATTTTGAATTGTCGTTGAAGATTGAGCACAAATATGGGAGTGAATTAAGGGAATTAAATCTTTTATATTTAAAAAAATAAAAAAAATAAATAACCATAAATGTAAATACAATACATAAAGGTTAAAATCAGAATTAAAATAAAATTCTACGTGCACGAATGAAAGTGTAAAATTAGAAAATTTTAGGCATAAATAAGTTTCTAAAACCGAAAAAGTTATCTCAAAATAAAAACATAAAAAAGAAGTTTTCAGTTTGTAGGCCTTAGGCCCAAAATGCAATGGGCCAAGCCCATTAAAACGATGCTATTACCATTATCTTCAGAAATGCATTAACCATACACAAACATAATTGGATCCAAGAGCGGAATCCATCCCCTAAAAAGCAAAACTCACAAATCAATCCTAATAATATTCATACACTTCCCAAATTATTAATTCATAATCCCGAAACGACACGTCGGCTATGGATTCAGTTTAATTACAGAGCTCACGAGCAATCCCCAATTTAGAATTCGCAACATCGAACAAAATCCGATGATTCTGCTGCTGCAAGTTGGCAATCACATTCAGCACCGAGTTCACATTATTCGGCGCCGCCGCCATGGCCAGGCAAGCCAGCGCCCCGGCGCTGCTGTGAATCAAACTATTCTCCATCGGCAGTTTCAAATCCAAGCCGCTGAAATGGAACGTAATACTCGGCGCCGAAACTTCGTTACTCGTCCCGAAACACGTGTCGAACGCTCCCAGCGGCGAGAACGAACCACCCACTTGCTTCCTAAACTCGTCCCGAACCGCCGCGTAGACCGGTGAGACGAACCGGGTTATTACGGTTCCCGAGTCGATTATGGTTCCAGCTCCAGTGTTCGGGTCGAATGCGAGATGCTCGGGCTGAACCGGGACGAGGACCCGGCCGACGCTGATTCCTGTCAGGTTGACGTAGTACAGCGATGGCCGGTGGGGGTTCTTCAGAAGCGGGGTGGTTCGGATTGCCTTTGGCTGGCCGACCGGGCCGAGTTTGAGTGAACCGGAGAAGTAGTAGGATTTGAAACTGGGAAGGCAGTAGGAGAATAGACCGGAGTAGAGTGAACCGGATTGGGAGATTAGAGAGAGGGGCCCGCGGCCGAGGCCCATTAGGCCTTGCGGCGGAATGGAGCTGCCGGAGGCGGAGCTGAGGCAGCCGAAGGAGAAATTTGGGATTACGTCGCCGCCTAAATGGAGAGAGTCTTGAACGAGGGTGGCGGAAAAAGAGGAGTCGCCGCCGTAAGTTTGGTTGAAAAGGCACTCGGCGGAGCCGGTGGTCGGACAAGAGAGACCCCTGACCTGTTAAGAATGTGAATTTTAAATATAAATAAATTTCTCATAATGTAAATTGAAATCTGATCTATTTGCAAGAAAGGGTATTTTTAAATTTGAAACATTTTTCTGGAGGAAGTTGGGGGAAAACGTTTCAAGGCTAAAATGAAATTAATTGATCTATATAGCTATCTTTCATTAGAAGAAAATTGAATATTATTATGCATCTCTTTTGGTGTAAAATGATTTTAAGGCCTTTTCAAGTTAAAAGAAAATAGCATGATACAACCTATTCAAGTGTAATGTAAAATGTACCAAAAAGGAGACATTTATATTATATTTGAAAATAATGAAAAACTGACATTTCTTAAAATAAATTTTGAATTTACACTGTGTAAACTTAAATTTCTCTTTAAATTTGTAGATTTAACATTATGCAACGTCATCTTTTAGCCAAAAAAAAAAGAGCAAAATGTTCTGAGTTATTCAACTATTAAAACGTTTAATTTTTTCCCTAAATTCAAAAAAAAAAGGCCAAATAACTATATTTTGTCGTTATTATCATCTTGTCATTTAATATTTATTCACTCAATACCATTTAGTCTATAATGATTTTAGTAGATGTCTGTGTAACAGGAGATTATACATCTTCAAAAGAATAACATTTGGCTAACCAAATATTGTTTTTACTACTGTTGAAAATTTTTGACAATTCATTCTATTTAAAAAAATATTTATTTTTGCATTTCTCACCAAATTCATTCACCCCTAATTAAGGAGTGAGGTATTTTCCTTTTTAAAATTAGTACGTTAATTTGTTAAACGAAATTACTTACCTAGGTAATCATTTAGTTTTGTTTAATGTTACAAAAATATAAATTCAAGACCAAATTAAAATGCAATTCTTCGAGAAAATGTGATGATTTAAGAAACCTGGCTGCATTCTGGCTTGGAGCAATCCAAAGTGGCAAACGAGGAGGAAGTTTTTGAGGAAAAAGTGACGGCGGAGCAGCCGGCGCAGCCGGAGCACGGCACCCATGCGGCGTCGTTGCTGGTGTCAAGAACCATGTACATTACTTGACCCGGAGTCCCGAGTTGAACTCGGACCACGTAATTCCCAATATTCAGCACCTGCTGCCCTGAGGCGATCGGCGCCGCGACGCTCTTCTGGGCGCCGAGGCTCCACAGGTACTTCACTCGGCCCGCGTCTTTCGCCGCCATGTTCATCACCGTGTTCACCCACGACTCGGTTTTCGGCGCCGTGAACGGCGAGCATTTGCCGTAGATGGGGATGACGGAGATATCATCGGAGCCGTCGGCTTTTGAGGGGCAGGGATCGGAAGCGTTGGATTTCAAACCCAGAATTAGAATCGCGAGGACAAAGAGGAAATAAATTTTGAGATCCATGACTCGGTCTCGACTCGGTCGCCGGAGTTGAAAAAAAAAGGAAGAGGCTGATTGGTCTTACCGGTTACCGGAGTTCTGCATGGGGAAGTGGAAGATTTATACGAAAATTGCGGCAGGAAATTACCGAAATGGGCTTGTAATTATTTACTCGCACGTAAATGGTTAATGCATGCACGTGACATGGATAAAACCCTTTTTTCTTTTTCAAAATAATGATATTTGATAAAGGTAATATTAATTACGAAACAACTAATTAGTTTAAATTATTGGAGATAATAGAGTTAGAAAAGGAGAAACTTTTTAATAGAATTGTGTGTTGGTACCATTTAGAGAGTTGCAATTAATTAGATTAGACTATTGCATATACATTGGGAGAGATTATGAAATAGTTTGTAATTATGTATTTAACAATACAACTAATACAATTATACCCCCTAATTGTATTTAAAGTTTCAATGGCATATTCATCAATTTTTCTAAAGTTTCATTTTATCTTTAAACTTTAAATTTGTTTTAAAATTATCATTTCATCAACCATTTTTTTTTTAAATAAAGATGGAAAATTTCGTAGCGATGACTTGTTATCTTTATATTAGCCTCCACTCAAAAGTTGACAATTTTTTATGTTTTAAAAGAAAAAATTATAGATGGATAAACATTTAGATATTATTCATGGTAAAGTATGAGATATTTATAAAATGTGTCGCACCATGGAATAATTTAGATGTAAAAAGTGAGGGAAAAAGTGTGGCACGATCAAAACAAAACAAATAATAAGGATTTAGTACCGTTTTCATGTGGGAATCCAAAGACAAGATGAGTTTTATCTGACGGTCTAATTAAACAGACGGAAATACCCTCGGACGAACACAAAACTACGAATTGCCACTGTGAGGAATATGATCTCGTGAACCATTGAGAGGAAAGTCAAGGAGGACAGTGGGGATATTTTTGTCCGTACCCTGGCGCGGGACCTGGTCGGTCACGGGCCTCCGAACTGATTTGTTATTGGGCCAGGCCCACCATAAAACCAGCTGTTTGCATAAAACTACAGAAAAAAAAAATTTTAAGTGAAAAAAAAACAAAACAAAACCATGGAGCGCATTGCCACTTTTTTTTTTTTGGACTTCAGCGCATTGCCACTTGTGAGGTAGCAATTCAATTATATTGCCAAAATTACTGAAACATCATCCCACCCAATTGGATTTTTGTTCCCATTCCTATTACTTATTTTGATTTGCATCTCAAAATTTTTGTTTGGATTAAATCCTTAAACTAATGAGCATAACTCAGGGGTTAAAACATATATGTGTTAGAAGTTCTTTCTTACTTTCTTAAAATGGGTGGTTGCATAAAATAATAGCTACTCTAGTCTAGCACAAGATTCAAAATTTTTAAATATGCCACAATTTGTATAAAAAAGACGTTTGAAAAGTTGAAAAGACTCATCAACGTATCTCAACTCTGCACAATATACTGTAAAAATGAATAAAAATGAACTGTGTACGAAAAATTAAGAAAAAAAATGTTGTATTTGCAAATTATTTTTATGTTGAACAAATTTACAATACACGGTAACTAATTTTGCACAAATAAAACAAACCTAAAAGTTTAGAGACAACACAGATTAAGAGCCAAAATAGTTGTTTTTTTTTTCTCAAGAATTCAATGACTAAAATATCAAGTTAGAGATTTGAGAGACCTTTCATGAACCAAAATAGAAAAATGAAAATGAAATTTATATCTAAATCTAAATTTATCTTAAAAAAAAAAAAGTAGTAATCTGAATTTGTGAATAATCAAAGAAGATTGCAAATTCCAAGGGCAAGCACGGGGGAGCGATAGAAAGAAGACAGCCGCAAAGACAGAGAAGTTGACGACCACAATTATTGACTCGTGATTCGCGAACGATCACGGGAGTTTCTTTGTTTACAATTTATTTTATTTTATTTTTTTATTTTTTGGTGCAAAGTTCGAAGCCTTCTCATTAAATACCAATTATTGGCTTCTTTCTTCATCCCATCTCTTTGTCCCTTTCATTCCATTCTATCATAATTGGATGGAGCATTCTATTCATCAGCTCAGAACTTTGGTTAAAACAAATTTTTTACTCTGCACTTTATACGTTCCTCTTTATAATTCTTTAAACTTATTTCGTCGCATGGATGATTTAAAAAATTATGTTTGGTTTCTTATAATTTCTATAGTATGTTCATAATCCTTAAAGCACGCATTTTAATTATTAGTGAGATTTCACATTTAACTAAGAAACTTAATTTTAGAAAACAAAAAATAAAAAAAAAGGAAGTACAAAAACCAAATAACTATAATAAAAGTATGAGAACCAAGGTCCTGCAGGCAAAGAGTATATCTTAATCGAGAACTTCTTATTTCTTACAATCATATAATTTAGAGGGGGGAAAAATAGTCACATGCCACACAGGAGTCACGTGTCTCACATTAAAAGACATCACAGTCCTTCAGACGACGGTAGGAAAAAAAAAAGGTAATGTTCCAAGAGTTGAGGCACAAGAATTTCACATCAAATATCTGTAATAAAAAGATTCGATACAGCTTTTTGACACACGGACAAAACAGAAAGAATAACTCAAAAAGTTACTCAGTACAGTATAAGTTGCCAAAAGACAGGACACGATTTTCAGAAGCCATGGAAGATGGTCAGCTGGACATAGGATTTGAATGTAAACAAAGGGACAACAGAGGATGTAGCAAAGCCTATGAAATACAGAAACTTACTGTTTTAGAATGGTTGTCAACAAGATTTGATGTGGCAGCAGCAGCGCAATATGGCACGTACAGGAAACTGCAACGCCAATGCACATACAAGGGAAGCAGAAAGTAGTCCAATGGATGAATACGACATATTAGCAAGCACTGAAAGAACTGGTATCAGGCACGCGACAAAAGGAAAAAACCTGCAATCTAGGTGAAACGTATAATGATCGGTCATATTAGCAATTTTGGAAACTAGAATCAAAGTTGAGCAGCTGCAGCGCAACGAATGTTCAACGGGGGCTGGGGGGAGTTAAAGGCGTATAGCTGCCGACATGTCGAGAAAAAAGGATAGAAAGAAACAGTTGAACGAAAATACATCACACATATGTTCATATCTTATCTGTTTTACTCAGAACTATTGATTATCTCTTCATATAATATTCAGTTCAAAGAAATTTTGAAATGGATAAACTAAATCGTGATGCTTGTAAAATAGATGAACATTTACTTGGTTTCATGTTCAAGGTAAGATTTGAGAATAAAAGTCAATCAACATTCACTAATATGTGAAAATTCAGTAGCCGGGAGGAACAATAATCTAAAAACTATATGACAAGATACGGAAAACCAATAAAAAAAATCTTTCTTTGCATGGATTTTTCTAATACCATAAGAGCCCTATGAACATTATGCACCTGTTAAATTAATATATGATCGACATATCAAGAATGTCTCTTCAATGGCAGTAAGAAGTAAGCAAATTTTTTTTAAGTATTAACCAACTGACACTTGCAGAAAAAAAACCCAGAAATGATGATGGGAGAAAACTTAACAATTAGCCAGTATGAATAATCAAATTGGAAATGTATGCAGAACCTAAAATGTGTATCCTGAAATCATAAGGCATTTAACCAAGGGGAATGGATTTATATTCTTAATTAATAAAAGCAATCTCAATCAACATTAAAGTGCCAGGAGATATCTACAATTTACTCAAAAACAATGTCATAAAAGCAGTAAAGGAATAAGAGAAAATCGATGACAAAGAAATCTGAGGCTAACACATGAAAGAGTCCTCTGACGAAGTATTGAGTGTACCTATTTAGCTCATGACGCACTGCCCCTTTTCTTGTCCTTGACTATGATGACTGGGCATTCAACATGGTTGGTACAATAGTTGCTTACACTTCCCAAGAACATCCTGTACAAAGCGGTATGATCACAAAGGCGTGTCAATAACCCTTCACTTCAGATGTTATTTTCCAAAAAAATATGTGGAATTACATTAATGATGGAGATCTAGCATACAATAACAAACTATAATAAAACATGAAACAAACATATGGCCATTGATATTGTTAGCTTAACTCTTAATTCGGAGGCCAGACTGGAATACTTGGGATATGCAAGCAAATGATTCGACAAATTCTTGGATGCAGCGAGATGTTTTTTCTCAAAGTAAAACAATGCAATTAGAATCTGTAACTACGTCAACAGAACACTTGAAAGTAATACAGTACAGACTGAAGTAACTGAGCCTATTTTCTCATTGGTTGCCACATGCATCACAAAATCAAACAATGCTGTAAAGATTCACACCAACAAGCAACAACTACTAGCTGATTACAGTGTGGCTTGCAGAAAAGTATAGATTGACCATTACAAAGACTAATTACGGAAATCTATCATATAACCATACCTTTTGATGGGACCAAAAGCACGGGATCCCATAACTAGCAAATCAGCATGCAAATTCTCTGCCACTTCACAGATCTTTTCCTTTGGATCTCCGATCACTACTTTAGTTTCCACATTCACCTGAAAATCACATAATGAAATTCGCTTCAACCTTCAGTTCAAACAGGATAAAACGATACGTGGAATTGAAATTGATGCCCCGGAAATATTGAGAAAACTATAAACACGAGCAAGAATACACCACATATACACATTGTTGGAGCTAGTTATTAGATATTCATTACCAAAATCATTTCGTCTGTTTCAGGAGAAGAGAATAAAAGAAATGACAAAAACTAAAAAATGACTTGAAGTTCACTGAGATTGCTCTTCTTTACTGTTTAATTTATGGTATAACATACTCCACCACACACTGACAAGGAAAACGAATTGCTGCGAGAGCTTCTGAACAATAGAGCTAACCTTGTACTCGGAGCAAATCCGTGAAGCATGGTCGAAAATCGCAGCTGTAATCCGCCTCTGGTGCGACTCGATTGCTGCCGCGAAAGCAGGAACCTCCAGATCGCCTACATCCAATTAAAACATTAAATTCAGAGAACTCTCGATAACAGCTCAGAAATGAGCGTGAGAAAATTAGTACAGGACTCGACTCAACTAGGGCCGCCAAAGGGGATTGGACCAGGACTGAGACCGGCGGCGATTGAAGGAGGAGATTGAACATGTAGCGCTACAAAAGTGCCGTCAGTGGAATCAGGCGCCGCTGACCGGAGCTTTAGATTTTCAAGCGCCCACCGTAAAGCGCCCATGCTCTCCTCGCTGCCGTCGACGGCCACGATCACGCACCGGAGATTCTCAGACATGATTCGATCGATTCCGATTAACGGAAGTATCAGATGACTTTTTGGCGGTGATTCTCGAGTCTCGGCCTCTGTCGCTGACTCTCAGTTACAGGCGCGGGAAGGTTCTGGATTGCAACGTGACGGCCATTAAGCGCGCCAAGAGCCGTTCACGGTAAGCACCTGGACGGCTGGACTACGCAACTCATTGTTGGATCTCGGCCCAATACGACAATGGGCTTGTCCCCTCCCACACGGCCCATGAGGCTCTATCTCTAATTTTCGATACTTTTTTTTAACTCTAATTTTCGATACTTATTATAAATATAATGGTAAAAATCATTTTTATACCTTACCAGCCCGGATTTAATCCATAAAATCTAGTTTGTAATAATTTAGTATCTATATTTTTTAATTTATAGTAATTTAATCCCTAAATTTTAGTAGGTAATAATTTAGTTTTTGTAATTTAAAATTTATAACAATATAATATCTATGGTGAAAAATGTTGTTAATATTTAATGTAGATGTATAAATTGATAAAATAACGAGCGATCAAATGTGTTTATAAACTAAAAAACTAAATTGTTATATACTTTAAACTAAAGAAACTAAATTATTACTAATTTGATGGTACAAACAACTAAATCATTACAAACTAAGCTACTTGGACTAAATTGTTATTTCAATTAAATTATAGCCAACAAAATATTTTTAACCTAAATATAAAGATAAAATGGCCACAGCTCGGGAAAAAAGTAGTTGGCCTGGAGTAATTTTAATAAACAACCTAATGTGTAAGTAAAAAAATTTATTGTCAAATTCAATAAGATGTAAATCGCGATTTTTTAAATTTCCAATTTTGATTCTCAATTCCACAGTCATTTAACTCAATAATAAATAAATAAAATATCTGTTTGCTTTTTTTTCCCCTTTTTTTACCAACTTAAACATAACTGACGAGTCAAGACTATAATTGATTAGAAGGTTGTGAGTTTGAATTTTCACACCACATGTTCTACTTAGAAAAATATGGGGGTAGAAGTAGAGAAAAACCAATAATGCACAATTTTCATTTGGCATACATGAAAATTAAAACTTACAATCTCTTGATCGAAAATAGATATCTTAAGTGGTGTACTTATGTTGACTCTAAATGTTTCATTAATGTTATTATTTCAAAACATTTTATATTCAAAATTCATTGTTTTTTATTCCAGCATATATAATGACATAAATAATTACTTTATAATTAAAGCCATATCATTTTAAAACAATTGACATACAACTTAGCGGCCATTAATTTAATTAATTAGCGCGTGCATGCGTTTAACAAGGGGCCTAGACATCAATCGTAACACGCAGCATATAGCACGTGGAGGCACGTGAGCGTGACACAAGCATGAACAAAAATAAAACAAAAAGAAGGTCATTACGCACTTTGATTCATTTTAATTCCTATATTTTTAAAATGTTCAATTTGATTATCTTACTTACCACTTTACTTCACTTTACTCGACGTACTTTGAAAATGTTCGATTTGGTCAATGTACTTTTTAAACGTGACAATTTTAGTTCTCATTTGCATAAATTTAACACAAATTATACACATAACGAAACTAAAGTAATGGTTACACTTTAAGAAATATATTGAATTTAGTGTTGTGTTGAAATTGTGATATAAAATAAAATTAAGAGACTAAAATAATCATTTTTTTTAAATACAGATATCAAAACGAACATTTTAAAAATATTTGGATTGAAACAAACGAGAATTGAAGGTAAATAGATAAAAATAAATATTTTAAAAGTATAAGAGCCAAAATACAATTAACACCAAAATAGTATTATAAACTAAAGAAAGAAAAAAAAAACTCAGTTCCAAAATAGCTAATATTGAAACTTAAAATTCAAGCTCAAAACAGGGACAGACAACATAATGCATTGAAGAGGGCATAGGGCGGTCAATTAAAATTAAAATTAAAATTAAATTAGATGGAATGACTCATGTCCAAGTCATGTTGTAAAGACATTTGAGGCCTCGGAATTAAAAAACCAAGATCCCATCTACTTTTGTACAATATAGTAATTATAATTATTTAAATAATAATAATAATTACTGGAAATATTGATATTAATAATAAGCTTAGGACAAGAATAACTTCTGAGCGGCATCAAGGGCTAGAAATGGAAAATGGTCCCTGTGTTTACCTTTTAGGCTTGGGGTTGGCCTTTCCGTACCTAGGAATGGCTACTCCTTATTAAATTATATTTTCTCATGCCACTTATTTATTACGAGTTTACGACATCCCAAAATGTCGTATCTTAACTGTCAACTATAATGGTATCCGACGTGATTTTGAATTTTCATAATTAATTCTGATTCTGTTTTTCTTTTTTTTTTTTTCGGATTTATTGAATCAAATATTTGTTTTGTATACCTTGTTTCTGATATTCCAACTCTGATTTTTTTTTTGTTGGGAGATAGTTCGTGTATTGAACATTTAAAAAAAAATTATTGCATATTTGTTGACATATATCGAAATATAAAAATATCAACAAAACATCACTAATAGAAACGTAATATTAACATCAATCTATTTTTAACTCATTTAGAGACAACGAAATGCTTGTTTATTAATTTAAATATTTTTTCACAAATTTTTATTTTTATAATATTTTTAGAAATATCCATCCACATCGATATTTACATGAAATTGATACAAAGACATTTAAAATATTAGTCCTAATTTGTAATATTAGATATTTAATATATGAATTAAATTTACTAAATCCATTAACTTAATCTTTTAGATTTAGTGGTGGTTTATTCATCTTTATGGTATTAAAGCGGGAGGTCCCGTATTCGAACCCTTGCGTTGTTGTTTACTCCCCAATTAAATCATAGCTATACTTCAATTAAATTAATTTTGAAGAAGTTGTTAATTGGATTATTAATTTAAATTTCACCATCTAATATTAAAATTGATCCACACCCACCGGTGATCGAGCTTTTTCCTCAAATTTGCTTCATATATTAAAGGAAAATGTCCCATTAAAATTAAGAAAATGACATACTCTACCATATTTAAGAGGGATTTTAATTCATGAAAACGATTTATTTGGAGATGGAGCCTACAAATTCAAATACATTTATCACCTCATTTAGAGCATAATAAATTTCAACAAAAAATAAAACTAAAATTAGAATTTAAAATCCAAGTCCTTTTTTAGAATATAGCATTACAATGATGCATTTTCCTCCAGAAAAAAGAAAAAAAAAGTCATAGAGTTAAGATTTAGATCTTCGAATTTAAATAAGTTTTTTAAACATTATTTTTTTTAGTCAACGATAATTCTAAACATGTTATAAGTTAAATAAATCTTATTATATCAATTCAATTAAACCTAAATGATCGTATGTTATGTTTATTTAGTTACAAAATAAAATTGAATCTTACGAAAAACACTTGAACTAAAATAGATTCACATTAAAAGTGTAGGGGTGAAAAAAACAATATTCTTGAAATTAGTTATTTAATCACTATATTAAAAATCTATAAAAAAACATTTTCTCATAATCTTAAACTCAATGATTTTTATAATTTTCCACTATAAAATTGCAATCCCATCCAATTTAACTCTAAATTTGGACACGTGTAAAAAATGTTCCCACTAACCAAATTTTGCTAATTCATCTAAAAATATTAAAAAAACTCATTAATTTGATGAAAATCATACTTGGCACAAAATTAAATTCAACCATGTACAAAATCAAGAATTAAATACATCTGCAAAAGCTTACCAATTGGAAAAAAATATTTTATTATTATTTGTCTTAATCCTATCCACTATTCATCTGACACGTATGAAAATATCTTTTATCAAATTTTAAAGGGTAAACTTATAGCAGGATGAAATTGCAATAATTTTTAAAATAAAGAATGAATATTGCAACATTTTGAGAGTCGAAGATAAAAATAGATATAACTTGTGAAGTTGAGTTTAAATTTGATATTTTATAGGGAAGTAAAAAAGGATTTAGAAGGTAACCGGTCAAAATCAAGGGTAGCTAACTGAACCGGATGGGAAAGAACACTGAACCGCTTTTGAGGTGGGGCCCACCCGCATATTCGGTGGCAAAGAATTCACGCTTTCCAATGCCACCAAACCGGAGAAAAATACAAATACCTTACCCCCGACCGCCAATTTTCTTATTTCACAATTCTCCCTACTTTACAAAAATATAATTGAAAATTACACTTATTACTTATTCCCCCATATTTATTGTTTTAATTTACTTTTTCCCAAAACGTAATCGAGAAACTCGAATATTATAAAATTCCATTTTCCGTAAATTTATTAGTTAATTCGTATTTTCTCTCCTTCATTGGTTGTTCTTCCTCTCTCTCTCTCTGGTTTCTGACCTTTCTCTTTCCCCAAGAAAACGAGCCAAAAAAAAGGTGTTGATCTGAACTCTGTAAACAAGTATTAATTTTCTGTCCAATCCACGAGCTCGAGCTGCTTCACAAGCTCACTCCACCTTTAATTTTGCCCAACTACGCGACATTCTTCCTTTTTCTCCTCAACTTCTTGCATATTTTCTCCGCTTTTCTGCGATTTCTTTTTGGTAATTTCTTGTTACTGGGCCTCTGTTCTGGTCTGTTTGCATGACCAAATCACCAGGTCCTTTGACTTGTTGCTTTCTCTCCACAATCGGATTCGGCGCCACCATTGATACCCTAGGCCTCATCTGCAACCTAATCGAGGAATCTATGTGTGGTAGCAAGATTAGAAGCTTGAGTTCTGGCGCTTCTGGTGGCTGCATTTTGGTGCGAGAGGATAAATGCTTGTCGCTGGGGATCTAGGGTTTCAGAGCCTGGTCCTAGCGGCGTGCCTGGTTTTCCCCATTATTGCTCTCCTCCTTCGACACAAATGGCGGCTTGGTATGGCCAGGAAGGAAGAGATCAAACGCCTCTTGGTCTTCGCGTCGGAGGAAGCTGCTAGGGTCGAAATTGAGGCTTCGTTTGTGTATACTGCTGCGCCGATTCCTCTGAATCATCACTGCGCCGTTTGTTTCAGTCCCACCACGACCCGTTGCGCTCGGTGTAAAGCAGTTCGATACTGGTATACTGATCTTATACTCTCATGAGCGATATTTTAAATTGTTGATTTGATGTTCCATCTTGTGTATATAGTGTGCAATGTTCCATCGTTTGAGTGTCTACAACTGTTGTTCTATCGTTGGGGTATTCTTTTTCTATTTTTCCCTTTTTCCTTAATTTGGGATTCTCTAGGAAACCTGTGAACCAGCTACGAAAGATTTAAACAGGAATGGGTGGAGTTGTCTTTTTGATCGTTATAATGATTATCTGTTACATTTTTGCTTGGAAAACTACCGACGGCTTACTCGGTTATCCCATTCCTTCCCTTCAAGTAAAGACCGTCTTAACTGCATAACATGTTAACACCTTTTTAACTCATGGGACTAAGAATTGGAGTCCACTGCGTAGTTTATGGCATAATCAGGCCATAATCTGTTTAACAATTACAAAGAAGCAGAGATTTATCGTTCTTCAAGACAACAAAAATAATTTCGGCTAGTGCTTCTAAATATTTTGAAGAATATAACAGTAGAAAGTTGCCAACTGCCAGTAGATTTTGAAGAAGTGCAAAAATCCAAGTAACTCAATCGTTTTATGGAACCCCATCTAGGTGTTAGCTACCGGGTTGGAGATGCATGAGAAAACCCAAATCCATTTTAATTTGACTGTGCACAGGGGTTCTTGTACTGAAGTATTTTTGGAGACATGTGGAACGAAGATAACTGATGATACATAACCAAACCTAACCATATGTTGATGGGTTTTTGGAGCAGCTCCTCTAATTAAAAATTGGCTATTGGTCAGAGGAGACAATACACATACTCTCATTAAAGAGATTGAAAAGATAATTCTTCTTGCTCCTCTATGGAAGATTCGTTTCCTTCATATTATTGTGCATTAAACGTCATGCTGAAGTCCTAGTCTTTTTTAGGGTAAGACTATCCAAATCAGAGCTCTCAGATGGTGTATGCATGTACTTTTTGGATATAGTATCTCTAGTCTGGGAAATTCTTATTCCTCACTCGCATTGCAGGCTTGTAAGTTGTAACGTGTACACATGATTCAATCTGAACATTTTATATTTTAATTTTTGAAAAAAATAGTGGGCTAGTATTCTGCTAAATGGTTACACCATCATGTTTGATAGAAGATAATTCCATCCATGCTGATACTTCCGTCACTGATTCCTTTTGTATTGCCATTTTGACCTTCAGTTCTGGTAAATGTCAAATTATTCACTGGCGACAAGGACACAAAGAAGAATGCCACCCACCCAAAACTTCTGATTGGACTTCAGAGGAGGAAAATGATTCTGAGCACAAGTTAGCAGACCAACACCACTGTGGAAGTTATGAAGAAAATTTTGATACTGACAGTGGGCAACATGTAGAACCAGATAAGACCTTAAACGATGGACTTGCATCACCCAACTATGGTTTCTCTGGTGGTAGTCCTCCAAGTGGGAAGGATGTTAGCATGGAGTTGCATGCCGATGGGAAGGAGAATTCACCTTTAGAGTTGCGTGACACCACATTTTATAAATCTCACACTTCCACATTAAGCAGTGAATCCTCTGCTGATGCCCCTGTAAGTGAGAGCAGTAGCCAATCTGATACCCCACGATCTGATGGATATTTGTCTGCTCAAGCTTCATTTGACCAGCATTATGATACATCTGGAGTATCGATTGTTGATCCCAAGCAGCCATTATCTCCCAGCTCTGCTCACTTGGTAAACTCTGTTGATAGATCTGCTAAACTGAAAATAGAAAATCATCCTTCATACATTAGGATTAATCCAGATGATGACGCCCGTTCAAGTGCTTCCAAAGTTAAAGGCATAGGTGGGAGTTGTGAAGGTTCAATTAATGAAATCTGCTGTGCTTCTTCCGGTTTCCAAGAAAAAAATGGAAATTCTATTGGGCCGAGAGGCAATGACCATGAAGACTCAATCCCATCTAGTATCGATGGTGCCAACAACAGAAACATTTCAGAAAGAAATTCCTTTCTACACTTTTCATTCAGCTTGTCTCGAGGTACTTCTCAATCCAATGTACAAGTTGCTGAAGTACATGAAAATGTAGCAGATGGTAATCTTCGTACTACTTTGGGGTCAAATAGAACCACTGGGTCTACTTTGATATCAGATATCAATGTTGAATCTTTAAAGGCTAGAAATTCCCCATCAAGTTGTGACGGGTCCCAAGATAAAGATAACACTGCTAAGGAGTTGTCAGATCTTCGTGTAGTTAATTCCACGTTATCTTCTTCATCTTGTACCAATCTGTTCCCTGTTTCTAGAGCTGAATCGAGGAGTGTTCGTGGTGATTCAAATACTAGTATGTCCGTACCCTTGGAGTTGGAAAGGTCATGCCCTGTTTCCATTGAGCCTGGTAATACTTCAAATATTTCAAAGCGTAGTGGTGGTATTGGGTCTTTATCTGTGGATGATTCCGGTGCTCATTTGCCTTCAATTATTGGAGGGGAGTCAGTTCCTCCATCTCATTCTAGAAAAGGTACCATACAGGTTGGTGCTGGTGTTTCCTCGCTGGATGCGAACTTTTCTTCCAATCCAGTTTATGGCTTTAGACATTTCGTTCACCATGAGCTTAGAAGATCTAAATCAGATCGCAGTTATGCAGCTAATGGCAGCGAGATTGCTAGAAGATACAGTAACAAGGTCATTTACTTGTTTATTTTTGTTTAAATGTAATTCAGTTCAGTTGGCAAATTGAATAATAATATGTTTTATACAGGGAGGCTTTCCATATGAGTTGTTTGTCAATCTATATAATTGGAACAAAGTGGAGCTCCGACCATCTGGCCTTGTAAACTGCGGGAACAGGTTGTTATAGTTAGGATGCTCCTTTTTAGTTATAAAATTTATTTCATAATTGCCAACAAGACATAGTTCAGTGTAATTGACGTACACTCCATTTGAAGTTGGAGGTTAAAACCCTCGTACCCCTAATTTGTTGTACTAAAAAATAAGTTAGTTCATGATTATGAGGTGTATTCTTGACTTTGGTTCATTACCGAGTTCATAGCTATAAGGTGTCTAACTTAGCTCCTGCTGTTTAAAGCTGAATGTTGAAATCTATCTGCAATTTCGCATAAATTTATAAATAACTGTTTGAAAGTCTTTTGTCTTGTCTTGTCTTTTTATTTTTTATTCTTCCGTGGTGCAGTCATCTCATGCTGACAATACAAGTAACCCCTATATTTACTTTATGCAGCTGCTATGCAAATGTTGTACTCCAGTGTTTGACATTCACGCCTCCTTTGACGGCCTATTTTCTTCAGGGACTGCATTCTAAAGCATGTATACAGAATGCCACTTTTTATCACTTTGTCTTATGTTCAGTTTTATAACAATCGCTTTAAATTCATATACCTAAGGCTTTTTGTTCTTGTTTTTGCATATCAGGTGCAAAGGAGAGATGGTGTTTTACCTGTGAGTTTGAAAGTCTAATACTCGAGGCAAGTGAAGGCAAATCTCCACTATCTCCTCTCAGAATAATTTCTCAACTGAGAAAAATTGGAAGTCAACTTGTTAATGGGAAAGAGGAGGATGCACACGAGTTTTTGAGGTATCTTTCTTTATTTTTATTGCCTCTCTCCAATCTTTATTTTGTTACTTTGTACACGTTCAATGTTACTTTTCAAAGAATTGTACATTAGGGGGTTAATGAGTTAGTTTGACAGGTGTGCTATTGACTCGATGCAATCTATTTGTTTTATGGAAGCTCAAGCAAGTCGATCGGGCCCTGTGGAGGAAGAAACAACTCTAATTGGTCTCACATTTGGAGGCTACCTTCTATCAAAGGTAGTGCAATGTTTCCTTTTATCAGTTAAGGATATTCAGGATGTCAGTTACCCAGGAAAAATCCGTTCTATAACTCTTTAGAACTTTTTCATCCTATCTGAAAAGCCTGTGAAAAGTTGATGTTGTTGTGAAAAATTCAAATACTGATGCTTGCAATTTTGATGCTTTTTACTTGCAGATCAAATGCACAAGGTGTGAGAGCAAGTCTGAACGAATTGAAAGGATCTTAGATCTAACTGTTGAGATTAGTGGGGATATTGAAACAATTGAAGAGGCTCTTGAACAATATACAAGCACTGAGATTCTGGACGGGGACAATAGATACCAATGTGGCAGGTTAATGGGTTGATTTGTTTATTTGTGCATTGGGAACATCTCTTGCCATTTACTATCTGTTTTATTTTTTGTCTCGACTTAATTTTTCTATGTATAAATGCTCGTTCCTATTTTATCCTTCTATTTTTACTTGCAATTATATTTATTGGTGATCTTGATTTCATTCAGATGCAAATCTTATGTAAAGGCCAAGAAAAGGCTGTCAATATTGGAGGCTCCAAATATCCTGACTATAGCATTAAAACGATTCCAGGTTTTTCTTCAACTCATTGGTGACCATCACTCTTTATTATTTGCAGATTTTGATGAAATTTCTTAGCTTTTTTTCTCTCATTTCTTTATTTTTGTTTATCTATTTTAGTCAGGTAAATTTGGGAAGCTCAATAAGCCAGTTATTTTCTCGGAAATCCTAGATCTGGCACCCTATATGAGTGGCAGGAGTGATAAATCACCTGTATACAGGCTTTATGGAGTGATTGTTCATTTGGACGTCATGAATGCTACATTTTCCGGCCACTACGTGTGCTATATCAGGAATAACCAAAACAAGTGGTTCAAGATTGATGACAGCACGGTATGTTATCGAATTCCATTACTCTATATTTTGTCAATTGTGAAGAAGATCATCAAGGGTTGTTTTCTTCTGTTAATCATTCAACTTTTTTCTTTGTTTACACATTTTTTACGTTCAGCTCAGGATTTTTTTTTACTTCACTCTTGACCGTTTTAAGAGAATAACCTGCCTTTGTCTGCACCCGTACAATTAAATTCTTTCTTCTTCCCCAAGGAGTGAAATTGATTGTTCAACTTCCTGTTTTAGTAATCAGTGGTTGATCCATATAGCAACTTTTAGGCAAAGTTTTATCTCCTCTGGATTGCTTGTTGTACATTTGATATCGATGTTATCTCATATGGTTTAACCTTTCTCAGAGATGTGACTTTAATTTATCTATGGTTGGGTAGGTAACAGCTATGGATTTTGAAAATGTACTTACAAGAGGGGCATACATGCTCTTTTATGCAAGGTAAACTTTGGGGCTAAAATGATTTGATCTAGGCAATTCATGTTTCAATTCTTCATTATTTGACTATAGGTAGCCCTTGCAGATGCTCACCTAGGGCCCCAAGGTTGATAAGAAGTAAAATTATGACTGATTCCAAGGATGGACGCATTCCATCTTGGATCAGTAGGAGGAGTGCCTCATTTCAATCAAGTCCCAACTCCACGTATCCTGAGTCCCACAACCTCCATGTTAACAGTTCATCAAATGATTCTGCCAATATCAGTTCGTTTTATCGCAAATTCCACCAGCTCCAGAAGCTTTTGGAAGAGGACTTAACGAGCGACAGTTCTTCGCTTCTCAGTAGCACTTCTGATGAAAGTTCATGCAGCACCAATAGCAGCAGTGACTCTACGAGCACTGATGACTTACCCGATTATATTTATAGTGATTCTGGATGTGGTTTTAATGGTCTGCAAAATCATTCTGACGTAGACTCTTCTTTGCCATCCTCGTCTTCGTCCTCTCCGCTTTTCCATCCTGCTGATTCAAGCCGATGTGCACCAGTTGGTGCCAAGACAAGTGGGTGTCAATCGGGCYGTCCCAATCAGAGCAATGGGTTGAGCAATCTCTCGAGCAGGCCAGAATCGAACGGCAGGGAGAAAACCGTGCCTTTGGAGTGTAAGGATGGCGTTTATTTGCATTCTGACCCTAGCAAACAGTGTAGAAATGTAATGAGTAATGGTAGTTGTAGAAGGGAGAGGTAAAAAGGTAAACATATTTTGATTATTATGAAAATGTATACTGAGTTCAGAGGTGAGTAAATAAGAGCCTTTAACTTGAGAGAGAATGTACTTAGCAAATGTTAGAGAGCTGATTCTTTTTGAAAGGGTTGGCTGTTAATATTTTGTAACTCACTTTTGATATTATTCATTCCTGTTGTTAATAATAAGATGCATTCATATCCTTCTTTACTTTTCTTCAATGTTGAGAGTATATTTTAGAGTTCGAATTGGGTTAAAAAAAACAAAATTGGGCTCATTTTTGTCCGGAAACCTCATTAATTTCTCCTATTCTTTACCTAACTTTAAAGTTTGATTTAACATTCACACATATCTTACACTCAATATCTGTTGATCAAGTATTATTTTATTTTGGTTTATCTACTTCGATTCAAACCTCATAGATGAAGAGGTTGAAGATGGCATAAACAAATGAAAGTGAAAGGGGAAAGTAAAGCTGTAATCTGCACCTTACATGCCTCCCATTTTTCTGTTAACAATAACTTACTTACCGGTTCTATTTTAAAACTGTTTGATAATATTATTTGAATTGTAATTAGATTATATTATTTGAATTAAATTTCCATGATTAAGAATTATAGTATTATAAATAGTTCCTTAAATGAAATCCTATTCTTATTCTTCCTATTTTTTCTCGTTTTTAAGTTAACAAAAACCACCATCAAAATAACTAGAAGAGTAATCCATACATCCATAAATTTTGTCAGTCTTTGATTTGACGTGAGATGTTCACACAAATTAGAAAACACCATGTTCGGTTTAGAAAAATTATGATTTTTTTTCTTTGGGTTTTGATCGGTGGCAGTAAAGTAATGGAGGGGTGACTTCTTTTTCTTCACCGCCTCTCCTTATTTTTAATCAATCTCCCACTTTGTTCGCATGCCAAAAAAAATCGCACGTTCAGAAAGAACAAAAAGGAAAAGGATGCCGCCGCCGCCGCCGACACGGCGCCGCGCGGCAGACGTTGACGGAACGCCGGGGGCTCCGGCGAAGCCTTTTTTTTTTTTATTTGAAAAATATTATTATTTGTGGTTTTCTTGTCGACATAATGGCATTCAAGTCAAATTACCAAAGTCCATAGAGGAGAAGTTCTTATTGGCCTTTTCCTTTTCATGTTCATGACATTTAAATTCCACCTTACAATTTTTTCCTCCTTATTAAGTTTTGGATTTCATGATGTTAGAACTATACAACAAGTGATACATATTTTTTTATTTTGAGATCGGAGGTTCAAGTCGTAATATCCTCAATTTATTGTATTAGAAAAAAACTATACAAGATATTAATAATCTTTTTATTCTAAAACACGGTAAAAAAAATGAATGACCATATATAATATATATTTTTTTAGTATAACATGTAGGGATGTGAGATCGAACTCACAACCTTTTAATTGAAGATATATATCAATTACCCAACTTTAATCGTAATATCAAAATTAAAAATGAGTGAATAAATCTTTTTTAATTTTTTGTTACAAATAGAGAAATTTAGTGGAAAACATAAATTTAATATATATTTTAGAAAATGTCATAACTTTCTGTCTCAAAAAAAAAAAAAGTCATAATTTCTTTTTTCCAAATGTGGCATAATCTTGTCTTTCTTTTAGTGTATTTTACCTCACATTTAGTGTGATTTTGATTCAAAATCAAAGTGATGCTACTGCTTTTGTAAAATTTCAAAATTTTTATTATATTAAAAATACATGTTTATTTTATGCTAAAATTGTCTCTAAAATTTAAGTTTTAGATTTTATATTGGGTTAAAACGTAGTTTAAAAGTTAAATGAGGCGTGATGTTTGAACTTTTATACTTGTTTCTTTATAATGTTCTCTAGCTAAGCTTTAAAAAATGTGATGCTTTAGTTATATCTAAACCAAGTATAATTAAAGTTATTTTGGTTAATGTTGTTAAATATTTCCTTAATCATCTATTGATAAAGTAAATGAAGAAAAAGGGTGTCTTTTGTTAGATTTATGAAAAACAATTTATAAAATTAACAAAAAATAAAATAAAAAACTTAGGATACGAATAAAAAATGAGCAATACTTTAGATGTTTACCGTCGTCACTCATCTTCAATGCTCGTTAATAATAAATATTAGGTACTTGCTGTTTTTTAACCTTTGAAAAAAAAATCTACATTTCTCTCTCATACCTAGTGAAAAATTTAATGGTGATTAACAAAAGATAAGAGCCTAACTGGTAAGTACTACTCAATAAAAATTGATCGATAAAGACTAAAGGTAAATAAACTCAATATAAAAAAGGCGAACATGATTAAGAAGTAAATTTAATGCCAACATTTTCTTGGAGAAAATTATGCAAACTTAGATTGAAAGAAAAAGATTATAATGGGAAGTCAAAATTTATAGAGATGGCCAAGAAAGTCCAGTCTAAGATTTAGAAAAATTGAAAGATAAGAGTAAAAAGTTGAGGGCTTTTTAGGAAAAGGAGATTGGAAAAGAAGCTGAGGTTAGAAGAAGCAAAGTACTACAAGTTTGGGGTGCCGACCAAATTGAATAGGTTTAAATTTATCCGACAAAGGAGCATCCAAGTCAACCACAACCAACCAAATCATCATTTCTTTTTCCACCTAACCAATCTAATTAAACCAAAATTCACAAAGAAAAAAAAAGGAAAAAAACAGTGGTAGAGTCGGAAATTTATACCATGGCAAAATTTTACCGACTAACTTTATATATATATAAATATATAATATAGTTCAACTCGTTAATATTRAAAGGTTTAGAAGTTTACTTTTATATATATTGCCAACTTGAATATGCTTTATTTGTGAAAAAATTGTGGGTTCAAATCTCTACTCCAATATGCTGTACTAAAAAAAATTAAAAAAAACACAAAATAGAGAACCTAAAATTTTAACATTTATAACCTAATAGTTTTTTTAATCAAAAAGGACAATTGTTCCTATCATTATCTTCTTCGCTCGCTATGCTCTGGCAAGAAAACGTATAGAAAACATGTATCTTTCAAAGATAGATTATTTAATGTGGCTATCAATCTCAATAATCATCTAGTTACATAGTTAATATATATATTTTTTTTCTTGAAAAAAAACTACACTTTCATTAAACGGAATTAATATCGAAGTCGGTTTTATCAAAGATAACATCCAATCGGGGAAAACACTCTCCCAAACCTCATGTTCTTAAAAAAAAAAAGAAATGAAGCTTTTTCCTTGCAATCTCATACGCCAAGTTGTTCGTGCTCCTCTTAATTTTGTGAGTAGAAATTATTCCAATTCGTCTCATACAACCCTGCAATCCAACAAATCTGAGTGAGACAACCCCTACTTTTTTTTTTCCCTAAATAGTTTCCACATTTTCATAATTTTAATTTAGCAAATTAATTACCTATATATATCAAAAGTATTTTTGTTTGGTAGGAAAAGAATTATAGATATAGCAACCATGACTATGAAACATCCCAACACGCACGTTTTAATTACTCGACATGTTCTGCCTATAAAAGAATAGCTTCAGTAATCTCTACAATTAAAATATACATTTTAGTAACCCTAAATCTAATACCTTTTCTCTCTCTAATTTTCCATAGAATAATTTAAACTTCGCCCCATTGATTATATATTACTTCAAAGTCCTTCCAAATCATCATTGTAACCTTTTTAGTTTAAAAAATAAAATTATTAAGGTAGTTATATTGTTGTAATCGAACCACTAACATAATAATAATAATAATAATAATAATAATAATAATAATAATAATAAAAAAAAAAGATACGAAAACTTACAACAGAAATTAGGGTTTTCTTTTTAAAATCTTCTCTCCTTTGTTTGTTTGTTTTTTTAATAAAATCTACCCGTCCAATTAAATTGGAAAGAAAGATGACACTTGAGCTATCAATCATTTACAAAAAAAATTAAGGGTCGGTTTGATAACAATCTTGTTTCTATTTCCTCATATTTTTTAATGAAGAAAAGTATAATTGTATTACTCAAACACCTATTAATTTAAGAATAATAAAACAAGATTTTTATTTTATTGGAACAAATTGGAAATGGGAACAAGAACAAAAAACTTGTTTTTGTTGTTTTTAGACCTTCTATACAAATTTTTTAGAATGTTTCTAAAAATGAAAAACAAGAAATATAAATAGTTAAAAATGTTTAGATTTCTTAATAAAATTAGAAACAAGAAACAAGAGACAAAAGGACGGACCCTACGGACTCGTTTGATAACGTTCCTGTTTTTTGTTTTTGTTTCTTTATTTTTAATGAAGAAAAATGTATTGCATTGTTCCAACCTCTAAGAATTCAAGTATGATAAAACAATATTTTTTTTTATGTTTGAGAACAAATTGGAAATAGGAACAAGAAAGGAGAAACAAGTTTTGATTATTTTCAAAATTTGTATACAATTATGAGAAAATGTTATCAAACGAGCCCTACAAAATCTAGAAGACGAGGCAGATGAAAGGGACCAAATTTTGTTAGGGTCTTGTTACTTTTGTTTTGTGACTCCATTTTGTATTATTTTCTTTGAAAAAGATATATTTTTAATCATTGTTGTTTAACATTTTGAACAATTATTATAAATGGAGAGAGAGAGGAGAGAAGAATTTGAAATGAAGTTGGGAGATAGGATAGAGATGGAGATATGAGATTTGCCCAAAACGACAACACTTTGTCCTCGTCCATACTTTTACTCGAAAATTCTCCAATCAACTTCTTATCCGAAACACCAAATTTTTTTTTTAATAGAAAAATTCTTTTAGAACCTTCAAGAGAGAAAGAAAAAGACAAAAGTACTATTGAAATGGAAATAAAGGGGTCAATGAAACCTAATAATATAAAGTTTTAATTGCAAGTCGAAGTGTTAGTGTTATTCATCGTCACTAAATTTGATAATTCGTTATTTTTTAAAAAATTAGAAAACATCTCATGATAGAGGCGCTAACCAGACTGACAAACTAAAAAGTAAAGGTGATCGTAGATAACAAGTTAACCGTACCAACAAGCCGACCAATCCTTATTGACTAGTCAATATTTAAATATTATTCTAATATACACATCGAATCTCGTATACGTTTTAATTATCCAATTGGCTCAAACGTCAAAATCATACGACTTGGGCTGTGTGCTAAGAGTTCTCTAGCCAAATTCAATTCATCCCATCATCTTACCTCTC